CTAAGATCCATCTGACATTAGCTATAATATCCCTAGTACCACGACCTCTTCTAAATCCAGCCTGCACATCTGGCAGTTCTCTGTTGACATATTGCTCCAAACGTTTTTGGAAATGGTGACTAGTCAAAAGGAATCCAAAACCATTTTGCTTAATACTAAACAAGGAGCATTAATTACAAAATATCCAATCTAGGGTACTATTTTTCTTAATTCAGCTTAAGATAAGAACCATTGTAGTCCTGAAATTTTGGTATTAATATACAATGTAATATTGGTAATTAATATTCAAGGTCAAATATATAAATGAAAGGGAAAATTCATGAGACATTATAAACGAAAATCCTTGCCATTGAACACTGGTACCTACAGTGATATGGTTAAGATGCTCCTTGGTCCTGGCTCTGGGACTAATGACTAGGATCTCATGGCTTGCCTTTCTGAAAAACTAAGCTTAATTTATTCTCTAATTTATTAATTATTTAGTACTTATTTGGCAAAGTCTATCTTTAGTGGACATGATCTCCTTTAATAAAGAAGCAGGATTCCCTCCTCTCCATTTTAAAAGCGCTGAAATCCATAAAGTTTTAGCAGAATGAAAACAATCTGTTCTTACCTCATAGTCCTTAAATAATTGGCGCATGAAGAAAAGCCATCCAAACCCAAAGAAAAGTATCTGGAAGAGAAAGCAGATAGAATGTCAATATACAGATTCTTGTCAGAAATGTTCTTTAAAGACTATTAGAGATTAAATATAAGAATCACTTATAAAAGTCCATTAGTATTGGTAGAAGATAATGAAATGTTCTTAAGAATTTTTAAATTATCCATGTTATAGACTAACTAATCAAAGGTTGATAAAAGTCCAAAGCCTTCAGTATGGCATATACCTCAACATAAAGAATAATTTTCACAACTGGATCAATAAGCAACACTATGATATGGAAGGAAGATTGAAGTTGTTAAGGATTCAAGATTACTTGGATCTATAATCAACCAAGAAATCAAACTATGTGTTGCACTGGCAAATAAAGTGTGAAAGATCTTGTTAAAGAGTTAAACAGCAAAGACCACACTTGTCCGATTATAGTTTGCTTGATCAAGCCATGGTATTTCCAGTCACCTCATATGCAAGTGAAAACTGGACAATGAATTGGGAAGACCATAGAACTGATGCTACTGAATTATTAGTGAAAATATTGCCAGAAGAAAGAGCAGACCTGTTCTGGGGAAAGCACAACTGAAATGACCCTTAGAAGAAAGAATGGCAAGACTTCATCTCAAATCCCCTGGATGTGCTATCAGGAGGACATGTCCCTGGGCAAGGATAATATGCTTGGGAAAGTGAAAGTCCAAAGAAACAGAGGAAGACATCAATGGCTGGACTGACAATATGGCTGCAATAATCGACCTAAATACTGTGAGGGGAGTGGAGAATTAGTTTTGTTCTGTTGTACACAGGGTTGCTATTAATTTAACACCTCTGACAACAATAACAACACAGAAGTACTTCAAGGTAGACAAACATGCAATTACAGATTTTCCTATAATTTCAGAATTAGTTTATAACTCAAGTTAAATCATAAATAACAAAGAACTAACAGAACTCTACTTCTACTGCATCAATTCCTACTCATAGTGACTCTATAGGAGGGATGGAAGAATAGGATGGCCCATTACATTCCCAAGGCAGTCACTTTTTACAGAAGGAGACTGCCACATTTTTTTTCCCCAACAGAAAAGTTAGCGGATAAGAAACATACCCTTTCTTGAAGAAAGCAAAGACTTAAAGCGTTTATTAAAGAAGACCAAAGACTTCAGTATGGATTACACTTTAACATCAAGAAAATAAAAATCCTCACCATTGAATCAATAGGCAACATCATGATATATGGGGAAAAGATTTAAGTTGTCAGTGATTCAATTTTTACGTGGCTCTACAATCAATGCACATGGTAGTAGCAGTCAAACCCCCAAAAGCTGTGCTGCAACAGGTAAACTTCCTGTCAAGGGCCTCTTTAAAGTTTGAAAGTAAGGATGCCAATTTAAAGACCCATATGTCCTTGACTCAAAATGTGGTATTTGCAGATTTGCAGTTGTTTCCTGTGCATCTGAAAGCTGGATAAGAATGAGGAATTGATGCCTTTGGGTTGTGGTGCTGGGGAAGAGTGCTGACTAAATCATGGACTGCTCAAAGAAAAATAAATCTGTCTTGGCGGAAACACAGCCAGGATGTCCCTTATAGGCAAAGATGGTGAAGTTTTGTCTCACATACTTTGGGCATGTCTGCAGGAGTGTCCAGTCCTTAGAAAAAAGACATTATGAATGAAAAGGGAGAGGGTCAGTGAAAGATAGGACCCTCAATGAGATAGACTGATCCAATAACTACAACATAACTAACACCATGAGAATGGCACAGGATTGTGCAAAGTTTTGATCTGTTGTTCAGTGTCACTAAGAATTGCAGTGGGCTTAATGGCCCCAAACAAGAACAATTTGTCTACTTTTTCACTGTTGTTGCTTTTGGTGTCATATCCTAACATTTTATCCTTGTGTTTTCTTCCAAGGTTTTAATTTTCACACTTAAGTAATTTTTCCATTAATTGTTATATACAGCATAAAGTATAGGTTCAACTTTATATGTGGAGACAGTTATCTCTGTATGATTTGTTGAAGAGACTAGGCATTCTTTTCCCATTGCATAGACTTGACACTCTGGTTAAAACTCAACTGGTTATAGATGTATGAGTTTATTTTGAAACTCTCAATTGTATTCTCTTGGTCAGTCTATCTTTATACCAGTATCAAACAGTTTTGATTACTGTAGCTTTATAGTATATTTTAAAATAGGTAGGTGTGAGTGCTTCTACTTTATTCTTTTTCCAGATTGTTTGACTATTTAGGGCTCCTTATAATTCAATATGAATTTGAGGATGAGCTTTTAAAAATAAAAGGTTATTAGAATTTCACAGTATCATGTTCAATCTGTAGATGGCTTTGAGTTGTACTGATAATATTACTGTTATTGGTAGGTGCTATTAACTTGATTATGACTCACTGTGACCCTATGAATAAGAGACTGAAACCTTGTTCTATCCTGCACTATTACCAGGATCTCTGTCATGCTCAAGTTTGCTGCTGCAGTCACTCTATCAATTCTAAGTCTTCCAAATCATGGAAACATGGATGTTTCTCCATTTAGTTGGGTCTTCTTTAATTCCTTCCAGCAAAGCTTTGCAATTTTCATCACTCAAGTATTTTATTTGTTTGGCTAAATTTATTTCTAGGTATTATCAACAACCTGCGTTATGCAGATGACACAACCCTGCTTGCTGAAACTGAGGAGGACCTGAAGTGCTTGCTGCAGAAGGTCAAGGACTGCAGTCT